TTGGTCAAAGGGGGGGCACCGGGTCCCCCCCCGGTATCCAGGCCTGAGGGTGCGGCTCGCTGACGAGCGCCTGGTGGCCAGGCCTACACCCATGAGGCCCGGCCGGGCTCAGCCCAAAGAGGCAACGTGGGTCCTCCTTCTCATGGGCTCACCACCCATGGGAGTGGCCAAAGAGTTCGGGTGCAGTGTGAGCTGGGCGGCAGCCGAAGACAGGGACCCTGGCAGTCCGATCCTCGGCTACAGAAGCTAGCTCGAGGGATGTGGAACGTCACCTCTCTTGCAGGGAAGGAGCCCGAGCTTGTGTGCGAATTAGAGAAGTTCCGACTGGATATAGTCGGACTTGCCTCCACACACAGCCTGGGCTCTCATACCATTTCTCTCAAGAGGGGTCGGACTCTCTTTCACTCTTGAGTTGCCCACGGTGAGAGATGGAGAGCAAGTGTGGGCTTACTCTTTGCCCTCCGGCTCAGCGCCTGTACATTGGGGTTCACACTGGTAGACGAGAGGGGGGTCCTGACTGTTGTTTGTTTGTGTGTACGCACCCAACAGCAGTTCAGCGTACTTGACCTTTTTTGGAGTCTTTGGAGGGTGTGCTGGAGAGTACTCCTGCTGGGGACTCCCTTGTGTTGTTGGGGGACTTCAATGCTCATGTGGGCAATGACAGTGAGACCTGGAATGGCGTGATTTGGAGGAACGGCCCCCCGATCAGAACTCGAGTGGTGTTTTGTTGTTGGACTTCTGTGCTTGTCACAGATTGTCCAGAACAAACATCTTTGTGTAAGTGTGTGTCCATAGGCACTGTAATCACTCACTTCTCGCGGTTTATGAATTACTTTTTTAATTAAATTAATTTTACTTCAATTACTTTTACTTTAATTTAATTATATTTACTTACAATTAATTGATTGATTGTTACACCCGCGACTGCTTTCAGGCTCCAGAATAAAAAATAAAATGTGTGAAAACCAGGAACAATTGTAAATTGCACAGCCACCTTATACCAGTTGCATATATGCTTTTATACATCTAGATCTATATATTATATATCTATATTTATATTGACTTATATCTACATCTATATTTATATTTCACTTATCCTGAAACCTTTATTTTTGTGCATTCTTCTTTCTACCCCCCAATTTTGCTGCTGTAGACTGTAAATTTTCCCAGTGTGGGACACATGGACGTAATTTTCACTCACATACACACCCATAGTCTAATAAGTTCAGTATGTCTTCCAGCGCCCTCACCCTTTAGGTCGGATACACCCCTGTATTATATTCCCATTGAGAAGTAAATTCGAGGGCGAATGGGGAGATCATTGGGGTGACGTACAGAGAACTGAAACCTCACGCTTCTCCTCGTTTGCCCCTTTGAGTGATTGATACCAGAATCCATTGTGTCCTCTCCTCATTGGGTCTTTATTATGAATGTCTAGTTCAGTGTTTTTCAAACCCTGTGCTGTGGCAATTGTCAGGTGTGCCGTGGGAAATTATCCAATACTGTATGTATGTCTGTGCGGTCGATCGTCTGGAAGAGTAACCATGTAGTACTCTTCCATACTGGTAGGAAGCAGCAGCAACAGCGAGGAAATTGCCTTACGCTTAGAGACAAGCGCAATTTCCGATTCAAGGCAATACAATGAAAGGTATCTTTCATTTAGATTTTACGTTTACCGGAGATGCAACTGCACCAATGTTCCCTGTAAGCGCACTGGTCGCACTCTCTCTCTCTCTCTCTCTCTCTCTCTCTCTCTCTCTCTCTCTCTCTCTCTCTCTCTCTCTCTCTCTCTCTCTCTCTCTCTCTCTCTCTCTCTCTCTCTCTCTCTCTCTCTCTCTCTCTCTCTCTCTCTCTCTCTCTCTCTCTCTCTCTCTCTCTCTCTCTCTCTCTCTCTCTCTGTCTCTCTCACCCCTTTTTCTCGTGCTCTCTCACTCTTTCTTTCTCTGCCCGCCGCGCATGAAGCAAACAGAAGAGACAGTATGCCAGAGAATCAACAGCATGACGTGACACACACAAGGCTTCTCAAGTGTCTCGTCTCACTGGGCGGGGCTGCGAAGATACGCAGCCAATCAGCTCACAGGATAAATCCACTCGTGCTGTCATTGGTCGACATCGCACCGGAAACCAATCATGCGCCTTGAGGCAGTGCCCGTTGCCTAATAGTACAGGCATGATGGGTGTTTTTGTCTTCTTGTGTCTTGCAGATATCAGCGAAGATGCTTGTCCTGAGCGGCTGGATGCAGAGCCCTTTCACATGAAAGAAGAAGAGGAGAACAAAGAGGAAGAACAACAGGTCCGATACATTAAAAGAGAGGAGGAGCCAGATTACCCTTGCACGAAAGATGGTGAGAACACATCATCAAATGATGATGATGAGGATAAAGAGTCTGATGGTGATCTGACATGTCACACTGACAAAAAAACCCTCGAAATGTTGTCAGTCTGGGAAGATGTTTGCTTGTCAGAGTGCTTTGAAAATACATGAGAATCCACACTGGTGAGAAGCCTTTTGCCTGCTTAGTTTGTGGCCAAAGATTCTCTTGTAAAGAAAACTCTTCTTGTGTCTCTCAGATATCAGCAAAGATGCTTTTCCCGAGCGACTGGATGCAGAGCCCTTTCACATGAAAGAGGAAGAGGAGAACAAAGAGGAAGAACAGCAGGTCCTACACATTAAAAGAGAGGAGGAGCCAGATTACCCTTGCATGAAAGATGGTGAGAACACATCATCAAATGATGAGGATGAGGATGAAGAGTCTGATGGTGATCTGACATGCCACACTGACAAAAAACCCTCGAAATGTTGTGAGTCTGGGAAGATGTTTGCTTGTCAGAGTGCTTTGAAAAGACATGAGAATCCACACTGGTGAGAAGCATTTTGCCTGCTTAGTTTGTGGCCAAAGATTCTCTCATAACAGAAGCCTAATGAACCTCACAAGAACCCACACTGGTGAGAAACCTTTTTCCTGCTCAGTTTGTGGCCAAAAATTCTCTGAAAAGAGAACCTTAAAAATACGCACCAGAACGCACTCTGGTGAGAAACCTTTTGCCTGTTCAGATTGTGGCCGAAGATTCTCTCATAAGGGGAGCCTAATTAACCACACAAGAACCCCCACTGGTGAGAAACCTTTTTCCTGCTTAGTTTTTGGCCAAAAATTCTCTGAAAACAGAACCTTAAAAATACACCAGAACCCACACTGGTGAGAGACCTTTTACCTGTTCAGATTGTGGCCAAAGATTCTCTCAGAAGGGAAACTTAAAAAAAATCACACAAGAACCCACACTGGTGAGAAACCTTTTTCCTGCTTAGTTTGTGGCCAAAAATTCTCTGAAAACAAAACCTTAAAAATACACACCAGAACCCACACTGGCGAGAAACCCTATTCATGCTCAATTTGTGGTGAAAGATTCCTTCTGCTCAGATTGTGGCCAAATATTCTCGTGGGAGTCTCAGATTAAGAATCACAAGTGTGATGACGCGATGAACAGTTATGAAATTTTCCGCTCCCATCTAATCAGGCTTCATCAAGCAAATTATATTTCATCGACCTTCTTATTTAGATGATGAAGTTTTCTTTTCCTTGAGTGCATTGAAAAGTGTTTTTTTTTTGGGGCTGTAAACCACCATGGACAAAAATAATCAAAGAAAGAAAAATCGACCACGAAAATGTGATGCTGGTCATGTCACATTTTGAGTTGAAATCAGAACTAATCTAGCTATCTGAGTAACCTTCATTGTAATTATAAACCAGAATTCCATGGGTGTTTTTGTCTTCTTGTGTCTCTCAGATATCAGCAAAGATGCTTTTCCCGAGCGACTGGATGCAGAGCCCTTTCACATGAAAGAGGAAGAGGAGAACAAAGAGGAAGAACAGCAGGTCCTACACATTAAAAGAGAGGAGGAGCCAGATTACCCTTGCATGAAAGATGGTGAGAACACATCATCAAATGATGATGATGAGGACAAAGAGTCTGATGGTGATCTGACATGTCACACTGACAACAAACCCTGGAAATGTTGTCAATGTGGGAAGATGTTTACTTTTCAGAGTGCTTTGAAAAGACATGTGAGAACCCACACTGGTGAGAAGCCTTTTGCCTGCTTAGTTTGTGGCCAAAGATTCTTTGAGAAGGGAACCTTAAAAAGACACACCAGAACACACACTGGTGAGAAACCTTTTTCCTGCTTAGTTTGTGGACAAAAATTCTCTGATAAGGGAAACTTAAAAAAGCATGGAAGAATACACACTGGTGAGAAACCTTTTTTCTGCTTAGTTTGTGGCCAAACATTCTCTCGCAAACAACATTTACATGCTCACAAAAGAACCCACACTGGCGAGCACCCGTTTGCCTGCTTAGTTTGTGGCCAAAGATTCTCTATGAAGGGAAGCTTAACAATACATGCGAAAACACACACTGGTGAGAAACCTTTTTCCTGCTTAGTTTGTGGCCAAAGATTCTCTCAGAAGGGAACCTTAAAAATACATACCAGAACACACAATGGCGAGAAACCCTTTTCATGCTCAGTTTGTGGTAAAAGATTCCCCCACAAGGGAAACTTAAAAGTGCACACAAGAACACACACTGGTGAGAAACCTTTTGCCTGTTCAGATTGTGGTCAAAAATTCTCTGACAAGAGAAACTTAAAAAGACACACCAGAACACACACTGGTGAGAAACCTTTTGCCTGTTCAGATTGTGACCAAAGATTCTCTCAGAAGGGACACTTGAAAAAAATCACATGAGAACCCACACTGGTGAGAAGCCTTTTGCCTGTTCATATTGTGGCCAAAGATTCTCTTTTAAGGGAAGCCGAATTAACCACACAAGAACCCACACTGGTGAGAAACCTTTTACCTGCTCAGTTTGTGGCCAAAAACCCTCTGAGAAGAGAACCTTTAAAAACACACCAGAACACACACTGGTGAGAAATCTTTTGTCTGTTCAGATTGTGGCAAAAGATTCTGTCAGAAGACACACTGAAGAGGACACACAGGAACCCACAATGCTGAGAAACATTTTTCCTGCTCAGATTGTGGCCAAATATTCTCGTGGGAGTCTCAGATTAAGAATCACAAGTGTGATGACGAGATGAACAGTTATCAATGAAATTTTCCGCTCCCATCTAATCAGGCTTCATCAGGCAAATTGTATTACATCTACTTTCTTATTTAGATGCTGAAGTTTTCTTTTCCTTGAGTGCATTGAAAAGTGTTTTTTTTTTTTTTTATATCTTGGTTGTTGTAATGAATTAGAAAATTTGCATTGTTAATAACGTTATAATACTTTTGTATTCTTCATTATATAATGTAAAATCCTCGTGTCACCCCTCGGGTGGTGTCCGTTCCCCATTCAGCTTTTTTTGGTTGTTGTAATGAATTCAAAAATTTGCATTGTAAATAACGTTATAATAGCTTTGTATTCTTCATTATATAATATAAAATCCTCGTCTCGCCCCTCGGGTGGTGTCCGTCCCCCATTCAGCTTGGGTCCTCTACCAGAGGCCAGGAAGGACCACCACAGGCACGACTGTCACTTTTACCTTCCAGGCTCTCTCCAGCTCCTCTCTGAGCCCTTGGTATTTCTCGAGTTTCTCGTGTTCCTTCTTTCTGATGTTTCCATCACTTGCAACCGCTACATCCACTACAACGGCTTTCCTCTGCCCTTTATCGATGATCACGATATCCCGTTGGTTCGCCATTACCATCTTGTCAGTCTGGATCTGGAAGTCCCACAGGATCTTCGCTCTGTCATTCTCCACCACCTTCGGAGGTGTTTCCCATTTTGACCTTGGGGTTTCCAGTCCATACTCCGCACAGATGTTTCGGTAGACTATGCCAGCCACCTGGTTATGGCGTTCCATGTAGGCTTTCCCTGCCAGCATCTTACACCCTGCAGTTATGTGTTGGATCATCTCAGGTGCCTTTTTGCACAACCTACACCAGGGGTGGGCAATCCCAGTCCTGGAGGGCCGCTATCCTGCATGTTTTCCATCTGTCCCTGTTGCAACACACCTGATTCAATTGTTCAGGCCTCGACAAAGCTTGCTGATGATCTGATCATTTGAATCAGGTGTGTTGGAGAAGGGACAGATGGAAAACATGCAGGATAGCGGCCCTCCAGGACTCGGATTGCCCACCCCTGGATTGGACAGTAATTTTGAAATGGACTGGCAAATCAGTGCTGTTGTTAAATCCTGCTTCTTTCATCATAGGCAGCTTAGTAAAGTAAAGCCTCTCTTTTCTCAACAGCATTTAGAAAGAGTAATCCTGGGGTCTTCAGGCCTGTTCCTGGAGGACGATGATCAAATGATCAGGATAGTTATCCAGCTTCTGCAGACCTTGCTGATTATTGGATCATGTGAATCAGATGTGTTGCAGCAGGGAGAGAAGGAAAACAGGCAGGACAGTGGCACTTGAGGAACAGGATTGAAAATCCCTGCAGTAATTCATGCTTTCATGACATCTCAGATGGATTACTGTAATGCACTTTATTTTGGAGCCAGCCAGTATCCCTGAAGCGTCTCCAG